TAACTAATCCCCCAAAATTTCCATAGCTATATACTACCCATCCATCCAGGCCAGCGCTCATGAACCAGATGCCGGATCCAGTGGCCAGGAACCCAGGAAGGCTGCCTGCGCCCGCAGGTGACGAGAATACTAATATTACGAACCAGAAGAAGCCCAAGAAGGATCCTGTGACCAAGAAGGCCAACTACGGGACAAAGGCTCATGCCAAAATCAAAGATGCCAGAGCACTGATCACCGATTCCAAGATGTGGAGTCACAAAATCGATGCTGAATTATTGAAAAAGCCTGATGAGGCAATTGTGCTCCTTGATTGAATTTAATGTCAGATGAGGCACTCCACCCCAGCCATTGATAATGCAATGTACCCAGGTCACCTGAGATGTGTGAAGGCTATGGTCACCAGATCCGATTCCTTGTGCAAAACCTCACCTCACAGATCGATGCCCTGGAATCTACTGTGGTTACTGGTGCAACGGACGAGCAGGTGATCAAGCCGGGGCTGGAAAAGGTTTCCAAGGCAATGGACAAGTACCAGCAGGGTATGAAAAGTATTCGCTCTTCTTTCGTGCTTTGGCTGCATGCAGGATACTCTGGAGGTTTGCATTTATTAGTCGATCGTCAGCACTGTACATGTGCAATCTAAGGCTCCCCCGAAGGAAAAAAAACCGAAAGCCGCTGCTAAGAAAGCTGCTGCTCGGAAGTGAGTAGTGATGTGGGCACTCGCCCGACATGGGCCTGCAGGTATGCACAATGTGGTGTATCCGGTGTGCCGATCGGCTTTAGATTGGGGGACGACGACCCTACAGCATACATGCCGCCCAAGCCCGAACTTCATTCACAAATCTTAACCACTAATGTTCATAAACCACTAAACCCTTAAACCCTCGAATCGATAATCAATCGCAACCCCGAGACTGCAGTTTGCAAGTAATCACCGCTGTTGTCCCCTTTGGCCGATGGCTGACTGCTACTTTTGACCACATGTTGTCCGATCCGAAAGTCGGTCTTGAAATTTATCTAGAATGATGCAGCTAGCTGCAAGAAAGCATGCTGGATGTCTGATCACGAACACATGTTCCAAAGCTCGACGGGGCTAGGGGATCCTGGGCGAGCGCCGCCTGAAGTTAGAAAAGCTTGATGTGTGGGCAGCTGTGCAGCCATGTGGCATCAGAAGCATATCACGATGATTTCATCCTGCGCAGGGCATTGTGGCCGATCGATACTATGCCATGAGCTGAAGGGCATGGTCTCTTGCGGGGTGCGGATGCCTAGCTGATCATGTTAAGCACATGCACATGCACATGCTCCCTGCAGGATCTCAGCTACTGTGCTGCACGGAAGATCGCACATGCTTCGACGCAGGACTCATGCCTATAATAATATTAATGGTGAGCATGCCGTATCGTGTGCAGGAGTTTGAATGCCTCGGCGTCCGACCGCGGCAGGAGCTGCTGGACCTCGCTAGTGCTGGCGCATATGGTGCACATCAGTCGAACATCGAGAGGGATGTGCTGAGACGATCGTTTGAGGGAACTGTATCTGGTCTTTGATTCTAGATAGATGGTATACACTGCACTTATAATAAGCTGTTATTATAATATAAATTACATCTTATAAGTGCTTTAAATGTGCAAAATGCAATCGAGGTACCAATACACTTTGTGCAAGTGCCCGTCCGCGCCCGCCATCCACGGACCAAGGAGTGGCAGACAGAAATGAGGATCCGGACTGCATTATTATGTTTGGTCATGCATTACATCCATGCATGCAATTCTAGACGATCTGCCGTATTGCAGGTCAATGCCCTTGGTGCTACCTCATGAGATATGCCTGTACCTGCACAAGAAGAACAAATATGCTGAGTATGGCTGTGAAGCTGAGCTGAAAAAATTCTGGCACCACTTCAAGACCTGCACGGATGAGGCCATCAGATGGCCTTCCATGTGGGAGGATTCTGTGGTGCCGATCGGACTTCACGGTGACGATTGCAGGTTCACGGACAGCGGCCAGAAGGTCATTTGTCTGAGTATGAACTACTTACTAGACGAATCCCAGCAGCGCTTCCCAATCTTCATTATTCGAGTCGAGTCTCAGCTGCAAATTCCGATCCCATGCAGTTAATGTAGCAAGTATGATAAGTGATCTGAGATCTCATATAGACCTGGCAGGCCCTGAGCACTGGATTTGAGACTTTGGAGGCCTACATGAAACCGGCTACTTGCACCATGATCTATTAATTGCGAGCACCATGAGCATTTAATCTTGCACCATGAACATCACTCCGAATTCCGTTGATGAGGTGGCCGCTAGCCTCAACCTCGCATGCCACGGCCTATCCCCTACACGGTTTATTGCGGATCCGGATATCGACCCTATCGACAAGTACGAGCCTGCGGATTTCGACAACGAGCACCGATACCCAGCATCAGCGCTGTGCGAGTTTCGCGGTGACTGGAAGTTCATCAAGGATTCGTATAAACATGTTGCTCGCACTCATGTGTTGCATGTACATATGTCGACAGGAGGTCTTCAACCTATCCTCAGGATGGAACTCCTCGTGGTTGTGCCATCACTGCATGGCCCATGACAGCACGTACCTCATGTTTCCTTCGAGACTACCGCTATGTCGGCGGCGTACATTGCTATCGTTCACGGACCTTTGCAAAAGATCCCGACAGGATCATCGCTGCAACCCGACATTCAATTCCAGTTTCGACTCCGTGTACTGTACATGTAGTGTGTGCATGTGAATATATGCCCATGCATGCCCACATGTGTACATGTACAAGCAAGTCAATGCAAGTATGTATGCCATGTATATGCTAGGTAGCTTATTGAAAGTTCGCGGCTTCGACCACAACTATGTCAAATGGTGCACACTACATACTTTGAATCTCGGCATCTGCTGCTGGGCATCCGCTTCTGTGCTATTGGAACTTCTGAAGGATCAGGTTTCTTTGCTGGCACTAAGACATGTAATACACACTTCGATTCGGTGGATTCGAGTTCGTGATGCCACATGATCAGGATCTTTGGCCAGCCCCACCGGGAACTCTGGCCAAGAACATCATGAATGCTCGCTTGGGTGCTGCATATATCGCTTTCACCATCTGGGCTAAAGAAAGGAAGATTCAGAGACTCGATGTGAAATTTATAATACTTGACCCCCGTACCGCTTTAGCTCCCCGGCCCGGTTATAGGTGATCGATCCAAGGCACTCCCAGCCCGAGTTCTGTATGAAGAGCATGCGAGATGCGATGAGTGGCTACGCAGAGCTTGCTTGCAAGGGCCACAATGTGGCTTGTATGCATTACCACGTGCATGTAGCTATTTATAATGCCTCGCTCGAATCAGTGATCAGCTTAGGCTCGAGTGGTCACGGCTTGGTTGAGTTTCCTGCTGTGCAAGCTTTGGCCTGAAAAGCAATCTGAGCGATTTGATGAAATGACGAAGTGCATGAGTCTTGATGTTAATATATGAGTGAGTTCGAGCCATTCAGTTTCGAA